CGGGACCCCGCCGCGGCGAGTCTTTCTCCCCAGACTGCTGCCAGTTACATTGTGACTGAGAACCGCCGCTGGAAGCTAATGGCTTCCTCCTCCCTTCTCCTCTACTTTTCCTTTCGTGTTGTGTCTTTAGACTGAAGCCCAATACCCGAGGTTTGGCAGGTAGTGAACCTGAGATACTCCAAGAATCGTTTTACTACAGAATGGCTAAAACAAATCCTTAACCAGGTAAGAAGCTGACTGAGTTTAAAAAAAAAAAAAAAAAAAGAGCCGCAGCCCGCAACAGCAAACGGTCCCTAAAAAAAAAGACACCACCAAAGGAATTCTACAATCTAAGGATTTATTTGTGCGGATTGGGGTGCTCCCCCCCTTTTTTTGTCTGACAGTAAGCTGTGGAAAACACTCTACAAATGTTCACCGAACAAGACTAGGACGAAGCGCAATGAATGGGTGGTCTGGACCCGGTGCATTCCTAACGTTGAGCTGCTGAATTTGCACAAAAATCAACCCTGGAAGAGCGAGACATGAAATGCAGGATTAGCAATACCTGAGCAGTAAAATCCTGAAGATGAAACCAAGCAAAAGCCTTGGCTTAGGTGGGAAAGCAAAGCCAGGGAAGGGCTGGGAAACGGGGGAGGGACATCCAAAAGCACCCCAAGGACCACCCATTTTGGCCCCTTTGAGCTGGGGCCTGCTGGTGTGCCCCCCCCTCAGTTCACTTAAGGTCTGCCTGCCATTTTAACCTCGCCAAGCCGTCAGGAGGCCTTTCTAGGCTGGGAGTACAACTCGCAATAAATTTCTGTCTGGTTTAATTTTGTATCTTGCTTTGTTTACACTGCCTGGCATGAACAGGTTTTGCCCATGGTTTGTTGAAAAAATCAGCAATATACATTGGCTTAAAGTGAAATGTTTTTCCTCCTCAATTGTGAGGGACCCCCAAGTACTGCAAACTTTAAAAAAACATTATCATTGCTGCTGCGCAGGGAGTTGGCGTGGATCATCTGGCATTTAGTTCCAGGGAGCCTGCAACGGAGGGAGTTTCAAAGCCTGCAAAAATATTAAACCACCATTTTTAGCACCAGCCCAGTGACTGAATGTGTGCGGGTCATTTTTGCTTTATAACGCCCCTTCCTTCAATTATCTCATAGCTTTGGTTTTCTCCCCCGATCTGCATGCAGTGCTCAGCTGCTAAGGGCAATTGGTGTGTTTTCGTGAATCTTCAGAAATCTTATCCTCCAAAAACACGAGCAAACACTTCCCGCTCCACTATTTTGATGGGAGGAGAAAAACCAATGCAGAGAATCTGCTATGCCCAGCATAATATAGGATAACATAAATAAAGACAAGCTGGGTGTTATTTGGGGAATGGCTCCAATTTGCAAGCCCAGCTCTTATTTTCTGGAGAACATTTTAACCTCGCGCCACCCACCGCTTGTGCAAGCCTTCTGCGCGTCGCCTGTCCTGGTCCTGACAACTTTTTAAATTACCTTAATCCGCACAGAAACTTTTGACCCGAACCATATACGTGCATTTCAGATTAAACGCTGAAACCACCTGCATACAAACGTCTTAGCAAAATAGGGCTAGCAAGATAAGAAAGTTTAGCAGGCATAGTTTCTGTTATTCCTCCACATGCAAGAAAACACGACAACACTTCATTACTTCACTACGCTTTGCAGGCTGATTTCAGCTCCCGCACTGGGCTGGGGAGCTAAGTTGGTTAAATCCACTCAAGGATCCCAACACAATTGGCTTTGATTTTCTAATTTTGCTAAGCCTGAGGTGCCAGCCCACCAATTCTGAGCCGAGTGTTGGCTCCCCAAATGGTTATTCAGACGTATGCCCTGGGTTTTCTTCCCATTATAGACTAACACAACATTCCTCCTGCAGCAAGTACGGCATGTAATGGATCCCCAATTGGTTTTCTGGTATTAAATCTGTAATTTAAGGCCCAATCCTGGCATTTTAGCATTTTGGGTTAGCTTATTGGAGCCAATTAGGCTTTTGAATGCCTTCCAAATGAATCACTCCCCCCCCCCATTTGTTGCATTTCTGGGGCAAATGCCTAAAGAGGGGGAATTAAGAATGAACTTGGAATCCCATGCTCCACAGGCATGGGCTAGGAAGTGGTTCTGACCTGGTCTCCTTGACTCATGCAGTCCTCTGCAACTGCTTGAACAGCAGCCAAATTTTTCAGCCCCTCCACCTTTGTGGCCAAAAATGCAAGCCAAGGGGAAGCAGCTGAAATTACGCTTGGTCAGACGGTCGTTGGTAATCAATTCCTGTCTTGCCAGCATCTGAGAAGGCACTGATTTTCGGGTGTGTGGGTGTGTGTGACCCTTTTTCTTACATTCTCTGCAGCCCATGTGACTGTTTTAGTCATGTGCAAAGATGCACAAACCTCCCTTCCAGCAGCAAACAGCTCTTCCGAAAAGGCCACCTCTGGACTGAGCTGGGCGACCTAACCTGGGAACATTTTGGCGTGCAGAGCACGCCCACAAAACCATGATAAACTTTTTAATTTTGTTTTGCAACCTGGGAGTCATCTTTTTGATCGCATCCTTTCCAACAGGAAGCTTCCCCCATCCAGGTGGGTCACGGGCACTCCTCCCTCCAAAGCAGTACTGATCCTCGCCCCCCAGTTGCCCCAATTGGACAGCTCTGGGAAGCCCTAAAAGTGGCTGCACGGGAGCCATTCTCGCTTTCTTGCAAACTGCACCCACTACAAGTTGCAGATGCCAAGGGTCGCTTGAACCCACAAGTCCCTGCTGCTGCAGTGAACCTGCAACCCCCTTTTGCTGAAAACGACACTTTGCTGCCCTGTTGACGTCCAGCAATGCACGCTGGGCCGATGCAGGAAACCAAGGAGTGGCCAATTGTTGGCCCCACTGCAGGCTGCCAAGAGCCCTGTCCCCAAAACTGGGTTTCATGGTTTACTGCCCAGCTCAGCAGCACGATTTTAACGTCTGCCTGGAAAATGTTGCATTTCAGGTATGATTTAAGAAAAGGAGCGATCCCTGATTGCTTATTTGGGTGCAGCCTTCAGCCTGAGACAAAGTTGTCCAACTCCTGCTGCTGCTGTTCAGCTTTGCTGACTTCCTGTGCATCCTGCAAGAAACACCTTGGGCCCACAAGTGGGATCTTCTTCCCACCCTCTCGCTGCCCCATAGGCTCTTTTGATTAAAACGAAAAGAAGAAATGGAAGATATAGCGCCCCAAACCTCCTTGGGGTCCACGTCTTTCCTTGGAGTCTCCTATTCAGCAGTTCTTGGAAGACCCAAGAGGAAAAGATCCAGAAGACGAAAAGGGAGAAGCAAAACAGTTTCCACTGCTCTGCTTTGGGGGGAGAAGGGCCAAGCGAGAACCCCGGATAGTGAAAGCGGAAGGAGGGAGGGAGAGAAAGAAGGAAGGGCGATGCGATGCGATGCGATGGGAAATGTGATCATGCCCCCATTATCCCACCCCTGCAATGTGTTGCTTGCACGCTACAGCATGATGTTGGCTCTAAGCGCGAGTCAGTCGCTTCCAGCAGCTATGTGGCTAAATAGAGAGATACAGAGAAAGAAGGTTAAGAGAAAACCATTCTGCTTTCGGTCTCAACGGTCCACAAGGGCTTCCTCTTTCCAAAACCACAAGAAAAAGGCCCACGTTGCCCAGGGTGGGTTTAGGCTTCTT